AATCTGACTCACTATCTTCATGGGCATCTTATGTGGACCCGGACAGGGCGTCAGCAGTTGCTTGGCGACAGCTTCTCTCTGTGCGAGGTTGGTAGCTGATAGGATGGTCCTCCTGCCATCTTCGTTAATCACCATGGAAGCACCGGGGTGGACGTTGGGTCCGTTAAGAACGGCCTGACGGAGCTCCTTCACGTTCCACGGGGTGACGGGCTGGGGGTAGGTCAGCTTGGTGGCAAACACCTGCACATTGGGAGAGAGGGAGATTTTGTTTTATTCTGAATCAAACGTAGAGCTCCTGTGATCCATGCTGATATTTCTACCTCCTCAGTTAGTTTGCTACTCTCAGTTATAGGTACCATAGGTATTCCTATCTCGTTGGTCCCTATGTACATGTCTGGACAGATGACAGATCGCGCAGCGTAGTCCACACGTTTTCCCATCATATGTTTCCGGAACAATCCGTCCTTCTTCTCCAAGATCTGTCAGGGAGAACAGACAATTAGGCAATCGCCGGACAAAAAAAGCAAAAGGAAGTGCTTATTACATTGTAGCGTCTGTGTCTGTGATACCTGTCTGATTCCAGGGTATTTCTCGGTCATCAGTTTGTCCATGTCGCTGTCAAAGACGATGTTAACGTGACTCTGTAGTCGGATCCAGACGTTGTAGAGTTTATCTGTTAACGTCAGCCCAGGAATCCCAAACAGGAACGTCTGGTCTGTCTGATCAAGAGCCTGGGAAGGACAAGAGAGGACAGGTTGACATGTTGTCCTGTGTAACAAAAATAAAGATGTTTAACTGGATATATACAGCTATTCTTTAATATACATGGACATGAATTTAGAAAAAGAATATAGAGAACAACTCTGAGAGCAGACACACACTTGACACACACAAACATCATCTTACTTCTCCCTCCTCAGCAGTTTTCTCTCCTGCTATGAGAGCCAGAAGTTTCCTTATGACTTCACAGTCCTTCATGACAGCCTGCATGTTGACTGTCTGACCGTTTGTGAACATCTGGTCACCCAGCCGGTTGATTGGACGGTACCTGACAGGGAGAGGAGGAGGGGTGTGATAGAGCTACATGGATAATGCAATCCTGCAAAATGAATGCATATGAGCCTGGCATATTTATCTTTACTGAGATTTTATTCTGATTTTATTCCGAGTGTGTTTGTTCACACTGTACCTGCAGGGTGGGACCACCAGCAGCTCCAAGAAGAAGAGGTCTGGATAGAAAACTTTATCTCCCTCCTTTGACACCGCCCCCTCCTCCAGCCCAGAGAACAGGAACTTTAAGAAGAAAGCTGGAAGAAAGAGAACAGGTAAGAATTATATGGTGGGATTTCTTAGATTTGAATGCTGTTTCAGCTGTTTTTGCCATAAAACATCCCCCAAAAATGTAATATCTACTTTCTAGAAAAGGAAATAGAGTTTAAAATCATTCATACAGCACTTTTAATAATGTGTAATGCACTTCGAAAAGGTTAGAACCAGTGGGAAATCAATGACAACAATGCAATTTACAAAAATGACAAATTATTACAAATTATTTCTGTACAAAATCTTAATTACTGTATCTTTACACATTATAGATATTAAATATGTTTCTTTTCAAATGAGATTTTACTCAAGTCACATGAGACCCTCTAATGAGACAATACTTTATTCAACTGTTCACCTTTAGATGTTTAAATATGTAATCTGGCCCTTAAACAGTCCAGTTTTATGTTCATGGAGGTGGGATGTTTTTCTTTTTTTTTGGCCTACCTTCTTTCTCCCACAGTTTGTTGGTGTGTTCTCTGGCAGTGCTGGCCGTCAGGTAGACTCTCTTTCCAGCCAATAGATCCTCTACAAGAAGCAACAAAAGCAGAGTAAGATTTCTGTATGAACGCCTCTTCCACCACAAAGAAGTTAACAATGTGCTTGTCCTCTGTTTTGTCCCGTTTCTTTAAAATATTACTCACCATCAGTGTTGCTATCGGTCTGCCCTCCTGATGGCATTGTGACAATCAGCTTACTGTTGTGTTCCCGACGCACCGTAAACCTGCCACTCCTACACACACACACACACACAGCATGAAATGGACAATTAGGAATTTGAGTATTGTCAACATGTACGCAAAGAGGGTTGCAGGGTTCCCACTCTTATTAAGGAATTATTTTCCAGGACATTTTCCAGGAGTTTGTCTTTACAACACAGGACGGCACCTGCTTACAAACAGTTATATAATGTATTGGTAGGTCTAGCAATGACTTTAACTCCAGTTTTATTCCTCCTTTTTTAATGATTAGGTGTCTCAGGTTCATTACGAAGAACGGTGCAAGTCCGTCCCACTCCGGTGTGAACAGCTACACTGACTGACATGGCCAAAATGAAAAGGGAGCATTTATACAATATACAATAAACATTCATCAGGACAACATAGATTGTTTTTCCAGGATGTTTGGTCATTTCAATACATTTCCAGGTGTTTCCATGACTGGAAAACTAGTCTCCACATTTCCAGATTTTTTTCCAAGACATGTGGGGAACATCAGTGAGGCTGATTTCTTTATAATTATAACACAAACAAGGTGGACAATTGTAGACATTTTCTCCTGTGTGCTTAGTTGTCAAATGTAGAAAATGAAGCCTAAAAATCTGAATTGTTCCCTGTGGTCATAGACATCAATTTATGACCACCATATGGAGGCAAGTGGGAGATTAGTCCCTAGTTTGTTGTTTCATTGTGCACCGCATATTTAAACCAAAACCACCACAGCTGTTAGAAAGTATATACCTGTCTAAGTGTGTTTAGCTCCACGTGAGTAATAATAAGGTGGTAGATGGTTATGCTTTTATGTATAAAGTTAGATCAACATCAAATGAGGAATAAAGTATTTTGCATCATCATTGTCGTTACCTGCAGTACGGGCACTTCCTAGTTTTCATGTGAATCCTCCAGAAGTCATTTATCAAACTGCTCTTCTTTTCAACAAGGTGTTTAATCTGAAGAAACACACACACACACACACACACACACACATACATACATATTTCAAATCATATATATATATATAAAGTGATTTTAAGTTTGTGTGTGTGTGTGTGTGTGTGTGTGAGTGTGTACTCACCGGTTTGGTGTTATCCAAACCTTCAGCATTCACTCCAACAATCGTGTCTGTAAACTCCTTCAGCACCTGCTCAATCTCATCTCCAGTGGCTTTGGGATTCACCTCCAGGTACTAACAGAAACACACAAACTCATAAATAAAGTAGAGACAGAGAACTGTTGATCTATGGTGAATATAAAATGTCATAAAGCGGCATTAACATATTCCATAAAAACCTATCCAACCAATCCAATCCAAAGTAATACCAATGCAGTTCTCTCCTCCACATCAATGGTTAAGTATTGTAATGATACATCATGGTTGCCACAATTAGTTTCCACAGCAAGTATAAACCCACCTGGTTGAGAACTTGTTCTATCTGGTAGACCTCCTGCATGGCTCCGTGGTCCACTAACTTCAGCTGGTTGAGCAGCAGGTGGATGGCAGCTCGGGGACACGTTAACATGTGACATGCCAGACAGGAACCGCGAATCAACAGGTAGAGTTTCTGATGGAAGAGAAGAGCATGAGAAACCTTGGTTAAAGTTCATAAAAGGAGATAGATTGGAGCAAGTTTAAGAAAGTGGGTTTAGAAGTCAATACAGATTTATCGGGCCTTAACCCGCCAGGCTGGTCCATCATTAAATGGTAAATAGACTGTATTTGTTAACGCCTTTTTCTAGTCTCACAACCACTCTAAAGGCGTCACACTAAATGCCACAATTACCCAGTTACACACATTCATACAGTGATGGTAAAGCCGACCACAAACAGCCAACCTTCTGAGCATAAGTAAAGGTTGTGTGGTGTATTTGTGGACATGCTTACGTCAAAGAACAGAGGGTTGTATACAGGCAGAGGCAGCTCTACGTGTCCCATGTGTCCCGGACAGTTGTTGAAATCCTGACAGCAGGTTGAACACACCTGGTAAAACAACAATAACAGACAGTAACGTGAAAAATGGAAACTTAATGCTCACAATCCTAAACTTTACACACACACACACACAATGATTTCAGTGGAGATGTACCTCCTTGCTGTCTGCTGGTCCCAGGGCCAGATCGTAGAGGCTGTTCGGGGCCACATTCCCAACAGCATCGAGGAACCTGGAGTTAGTGATCGTCTTCACACTCAACTTCCTGCACAGGAGATGAGAAAAATACATTATTACACTCACTGCTTTCACAGATATACTAGATCTTTTTTTTTTTTTTTTTTTTTTTTTAAATAACTCTTTGGTCATTTTAGTCTGTGTAGTGTCTTCTTGCTTGGTCCCTACAGGGTCAACTGAGGGTTGAACCCAAAGATAAATATAAATATACACACACACACACATATATATATATATAATGAATATTGACACAGCAGTTTCTAGCTAAACTACGTGTTTAATGTCCCAACATAACGTTGCAACATGCTGCCATGAGCAGGCATGTTGTTTTGAAGTCATGTTCAGCGTTTAAGTTGAGCCTACATAAGCTGTCTCTCACCTTATCTCTTCTGCAGAGTACATGCCAAACGACATGCCCTCCAAACGCCGCCATGGCACTTCTTTTGCGAATAACATTTGAGACAATAATCCAGACTTCTGGGGGTAATTTATTGTTATAAATTCATGGCGTACTCGTTCAACCACATGCGAGGCAGAGTTGGTCCTGTTTCACACGTGGGACCGTCAGACCAAAGTTGCCATTAGAGGGGTGTGACAAATACAGATATGTAGGGTTTATTTTACAAACTTTACCGACATTATGCTTTTTAAGTAACTGATTTCATGTTACAAATTCAATATTAAGATATTAACGGTGGATAAAGTGTAGCATTTCTTCAAAAATACTAACATTTATTATTTTTCTCGCCCCCCCTTTTTTTTTCTGAGCGCAGATGGTTTCTCCCACCCAGAAACCTTCAGTGTGTAACAACATGGCGGCGTCAGGTTGGCACGTAGGACATTACATCCAGAGAAAGAGCCGATTTCTGCTAAAAAACCTCGACCAGTTATCTGCTCACAGGTAAGAAAAGTGTCACAGCTGTGTTTTAAACCAGAATTGAATGTAAGTCGACTCAGTGGTCGTTTAATTCCCGCTGTTTACGTGAGTCTGTGTGCAGCGAGCATCGTGTGTTAGGAGGTCATGAAGCTCACACTCCTGCAGCCAATGGAGAAAACTGGTGTGTGCATGTAAAGGGTGTCTGTCAGTCGGCTTATAGTCTGTTTTTTTATACTTTTTGACCTCATACGCTGTTTAATATTGAGCTTTACACAGATTTACTGAAATGATGTATTTGCAACAAGGTGATCTGTGATTGTATTCAGCCTGCAAGAGGCTTGAAGTAGTCTTTGGTAATATTAATTGCTTTAAGTTTCATCTTTTTTTGTTGTTGCAGGAGGTTTGGTTGGACTTCAACTCTGCGACAACAAGCTGCAGAAGTTAATAAAGGTAATGTTGTGTGAGGAAAATCTAAAGCATAGTATAAAGTATACTAAAATATAATAAGCAAAGCTGAAGCCACACTTTTATTAATTAATACATGCATTCAGTCTCCAAATCCTCCAGGAAACTTGCATCAGGGTTTACTGCTGGTGTTTACAACTAGACTGTGGCCTGTTCTTTGTTGTCCAAAAACACATAATGAGACACACTGTTGTCCACATAGACAGTTTATTTTGAGCTGATCGGACATACACCATCCTGCAGCCATAAATACTCACTAGAGCAATGTGTACTAATCCACAGCTGAGATTAACCCCCCAACAAATGCTCTATTTACTCCCCTTTTAGTAATGTTAGATCGAAACCACTGTGTCCAGCTGCTTTAGGGTGTAATTTAGCTTTGTTAGCCTTTAAAACAGGAACCAGTGGGCCACAGACAGGGTTGGGAGCACGTGGAGGAAATTTGCCCATCCTGTTAGATTTCACCAAATCACCTTCCACCAACACCGGACATCAATTACATCAGACGGAGGGTGTTGTTTCTGATTGATTGTGATATATGAGTGGCATTAAAATTCACACCTGTTGCAGAATCCACAGAGACTATCGTCATCCCCAGGAAGAAAACATGGTATGTGTCCGTATCAACTGTTACGTGAGAGAAACCTCATTTTAATAGAGTATTTTTGCAAAGACAAGACGTTGAATTAATGCCACATCTCATTGAACAGGAGCAAGGTGGCAGTGCTGGAGGCTTTGGCATTGACTGTCAGCAGGGTGAGAGCTCCTTCACATCTTTCAGTGTGTCATTCGTCCATCTGTTTGTCTGTGTGTTATAATTTATTTATTTATTTTTTCCCTCCAGGATCCTACGGCATATCCCTACAAGTTCCATGACGACCCTTACCTCTATCCCAGGACCAGTACTGAGTTTGTACGTCTAAAACAAACCATATTTTGACCTGACATTATGTTAGCAGTCTTATTTTTGTTGCTTACTTTTCTCCTGAAATCAGTCTTGAGTCATTTATATTGACCTATATAGGGACCTATGCTTTGTTATTGTGAGTTTGTAATGATGATTTAAAAGGTTTTGTTTGAATTTTATTTTGTTTCAGTCATTTTAGATTGACAGTTCCTTTTGGTATTATTATTATTATTATTATTATTATTATTATTATTATTGTGTCTCATAAATTATTAATCTTTTCAATCAGAACAAACTTGGGAGCTTCAACCATTTCAAAATACTTTGTATACACAGTAAATTAAATAATGAAAAATAAAATAAGCCGTTTTCATGACACACATTTTGACGTAGCAGGAAGAGTGCATAATTTAATTCATCAACAATAACATAAATGATGTAGTAGATGAACAATTTAGATCACAGTTGTATCAATAGTCAATCATCACCGTCTCTGATGCACACTGTGAGATGTTTTGTAACTGATGTATCAGTGTTCCCGTCTCTCTGCAGAGGATAAACACTCTCGCTCAGGATTTCGGCAGAGCTGCAGCCAAGTACTTTATCAACACCCATCCCAAGTTCTTCACCAAAGACTTTGCTGAACCACATATACCAGTAAGAAACACACACACACATATTGAGTGAATACAGTGAGGTGACTGGAGAATATATAGTCACAGTAATGAACGGGATAGAAATGAAACATAGTAACACATCAGACTTGAAAAGTTCAATCCCTGAGAGCTGTGGCAGTTAAAACAAATCTTATTTGGTCTCACTTTGATGTTTAAAACAATGCTGATTTAACTATTTATACTGTAGATTAAAACATATCAAGTTTTGGGCCTTGGACAACAATATTGCATTGGCTGATTGGTTTTCTTGTGATGTGTGTGTTTGCAGTGTCTGATGCCAGAGAATCTGTCACTGCGTTTTGAAGAGGTGAGTGAGGAAGCTCTGAAGGAACGAATCAGCTTGAGGAGAGTTAAAGCTGCTGTTGACATGTATGATCAACTACTGCAAGCTGGTGAGAAAACATACACACACACACACACACACTCTCTGTGTTAGGAATGTTGCTTTACTACTTCTACATCAACTGTGTCTCCTTAATTTCATTCTTCCAGGCACAGCAGTCTCTATGGAAACGACACATGACCTGTTGGACCTGATCTGTATCTATTGTGACAGTGACCCTGTCCAGGAGGGAGAAACACAGCCAATACTAGACACAGTGAGTCATCCCTGATCCACACCTGAGGGCCAGAGACAAGAGAAGAGTGACACAATTAGGCACTAATGATTATTTTTATTATCAATAATCTGCCAGTTGTTTTCTGGATTAATTGTTTTTGTTTACAAAGCGTCCAAAAATAGTGTAAAATGTCTAAAACAGTCCAAACCCAAAAAGATTTAGTTTACAATTGTAAACTAAAGACTAAGAATAAGAGCAAGTAATCACATAGAAGAAGCTGTAACCAGGGACTTTATGTGTTTTTTGACTCAAAAACAATTATTAGATTATAAAAAGTTTTTTGATGATCCACTAATCAGCAGCTCTAGGCCAATTTAAACTTGACGTTGGATTTCTGCTGCACGAAATAAAATAACAAGTCAACCACATTCAGCCGGAGACATAGGACATCATATAAATACTACAGTCTATGTTCACTGTTCAGGAGGAGTCAAGAGAGGAGACGAAGAAGAATAAAACGAGGTCCAATCGTCCCACCTGGAGCAAAGAAAACAACGCACACAGAATCTTTAACCTGCTGCCAGAGAGAGACACCAGGTGTTACTCTGCACTCATCAGAGGCATGGTGATGGTATGAACACATTCATTACTCATTGTCAAGAACCTTTCAGGGTTCTTAATGTATTGTCTAGGAATTGTAGTAAGATCAGTCATTTGGTGCATCTAGATTAAAGGGCAAATGTTGGTCTGTCTCTCCCCAGCATGGAGCTAATGAAATGGCCTTGAGCATGTACACAGACATGCTGAACAACAGACTGAACGGTGAGTTGCAACAGGCAATCGCTCATCAATTGTACTATGCAAAACGACATTTTAAAGGCAATATATTTTCTTTGTTGCTTTAAAACTCTGATCAATACAATATCCAGTGTGCGGGTCATTTGAATTAACTCTATTTTATTTATTATTGTTGTTATTGTAAGTGTTGTGTCACAGTACTGTCTTTGACATCATGTGTCTTCTTTGATTGTCCCACAACTTATTGAATTTAAATATGTTCAATTGAAAATACAGTATGTTGGTTTTGTTTGTTCACTGCTGTCAGTCGTTGTGTTACTCTCAATAATAGCAATAGATTGTGCCAAAGAGTTACATTGGAGACAGTGGCTTTGACCCTCTAAAACCTTGATGACAACCCTTCTATCTGCGGAACGATGAATGATAATTCAACCTTCTGTTTGCAGCCGACGTCCACATCTTCAACGCTCTGATCTTAGCAACTCCAAGTGTCGTGAGAAAAGAGAAAATATGGGTCCACATCACTGTAAGACTCAATGTTACAGAGCTTTTGTACACATCTGAACAACCCTTGTGAAAAGTTACAGTTTCATTATGTTTTTTTAGCCCGAAAATGTTATTGAATAAATTTAACGTACTATAATACTTTAAATAATATTTGTTTAAAGAATAAAAATAAAGTGTGAAATTATTATTAGAAATTGTGAAAAATCACTTGCACTGTTATTTCATCATTCTGTTAGCGTTTTGAAATAAAGTTCTATAATTAGATAAACATAAATTTGAATAAGAGAATGAAATAACTAAGTAATAGTTGGTTTATAACCAGTTAGTACTTATTCATATATGTATTGCAAACTTATTTCATAAGGATTTATTTAATAATGAACACTTTGGGTTTTCATATATGTTGACAATATAAATGGTGAGAAATAATGACATCATTTAAAAGTGTTTTTTTTCCCTTAATTGATCTGTCAGAGTAATAACATGCTAGTTCCATTTTTAATAGACTGTAGTGGAAAACGTGCAGTTCTTTTTAGGCATGATGCCTCCATTGTGGTGTGTCTTTCTCTGTCTGCAGGATCTGTTTGAGCAGATGAATCAACAGAAAGTTCAGCCCAATGTGATGACCTTTAACAACGCCCTCAAAGCTCTGAAACAATCTTCCCCTTATGCCAGAAATGAAGCTTCTTACCTTCTGAACGAGATGAAGGCTTTGGGAATAGGTGACTGCAAACACACAGATGGTGTCGGGGTCCACAGGAGTGTAGTAGTAAGATCAACAGCGCTGTATCAGTTCAGTACAGTGGATGATAATCTGTTTTTTATTTTTTTCTGTGTGTGTGTGTTCAGCTCCCTCTCTGTCCTCTTACGGTCACATCCAGGAAATCTTTTACAAAACAGGTGAACAGATTTTGGTGTTGTATTACACTTTAAGTCCCTGGTGCTGTTTTCTGTATGCAAAGTTGTCTTACATGGTTTGTTTCCTCTCCAAACAGCTCATTCTGGCAACAGCACAGACCTTTTACAGCAAATCGTATCAGAGCTGAAGAATACCAGCTTAATCTGCCAGGACCCCGATGATGGTATGCTCTGTGTGTAATGAGTCGATAGTAGAAATCTGGGGAAGTAATCCTCTTCATTTAGTTTAAATGGATATAAAACACACAAACAATTAGAACTAAGCAGAGGGATTAATCTATTAGGATGTGACTTTTAATACTCACTTTGTATTATCTCTTTTTTCCTTCCAGTTACATTCTTCGCGAATGCAATGAGAACGGTAAGTCTTTTTTTTATTGTTTGTTTTGTATAAATATTTATCACGAATGGGTTCCAGAAGACTGCAAGTCCTTTTTTAGGACTATAACAGAGTCTTAAATTAAGAGTTTGTTATTTGAGGCCTTTTTTCTTTTCTTTTTTTTCTTGCCCTATTTTTAGATTAATACGAGGGTTGCTGTTAAAATGTCAATCACACGTTCTACTTAACATCCTGTACAATCAGTCCTGCGTTCCTTTTTTAATTCCACGTATTTCCATTTGACTATAATCAGCTGTTTTTAATCGGATATAGATGGTTTTTGACAGCTTTGTTTATTTCAGTTGATAGATTTAGACTCCCACTTGCATTTTAAGTCTTTAATGTGTCTTAAAACATGCAGATGCCCCCAATCCTGTGTCTCCCCATTCATTGTTACTTTGGAGCATGTGTTTGTTCACCAACCTGTTTGTGTTTTGTTTTTTCTCCTAACAGTGTCTGCAATGTAAAGATCTGACGCTGGCCTATGAGATCTACGATCTACTAGAATATGGGGAGAACTGGAAGGTTTTGGGAGATTCCCATCTGCAGGTTATGTACTAGTAAGTAAAAACCTCCCCTGTACCTCCCATATCCAGGCCTCTTTGGCCGAACGCAACTGGGAGGTTTAATTAATTAACCACATTAAAGTTATAAAATCTAAGTTCATGAGCCTCAAATTAGCCTGTAACCTGTAACTTGGTGATTATATCCAGCTATGTAGATGAAGTTTAGTCCTATCTAAGTGAACCTCTCCTTTTCCAGTGCTCGCTTCTTCAACCTGGTGTGTCAGATGGAGGACATTGACACGGTGATGAAGTGGTACAGAAAGCTAATTCCCTCGGTCAGTACATCTCTGCATCTCTCTCTCTCTCTCTCTCTCTGCTCAGTCGTCCTACTCTAGATCATATAATGCATTGTATGAAGAATCAATAGTAACTTTTACAGTATTACAAGCTGCAGATGGCACGTCACTGTATCGCCAAGCCCCTATTATTTGTTATATACTTATACCAATAATGTCAGTGACAGTGATATGTTATAACCTCCTTAACAGCACCTAATGTACTAGATGTACTAGTGCTTATATCAGATCCTTGGTACCGCTGAATTCAAACAACTTCCGTTTCCATCATATGAGTTATTTTTGTGATTTGTTTTTGCGTTTTAAAAAGAAAATCCACTTTTGTCTGCCAATTAAGGCATGGTAGATATGTGACCTAAAGATTTTTGATTTTGTCTTCAAAGTTTCCACAGCAAATTTTGTGTTTCTACCTCTAACAGGAATACATCTGTGGAGCTTACTAAACTATACTAAATATAGCTGTTAGGTGGACACTTAACTATTTAACTGACCTTTTGTTTATATTTTGGAAATTAACAGTACTTGATTATTCTGTTTCCAGAAGTTCTATCCAAACTCTATTGGACTGATGAACCTGCTGCAGGCTGTGCAGATAGACAATCGCCTGGACTTGGTGCCCACTATATGGAAAGGTGATTTTAAAGATTATACATTATAGTTACAGGAATCTAATTTCACTCACTAATAATCACTTAAATGGTTGATGACTCATGAAATCTGACCTCCAGTTAATGACATAGACTCTCTGCACCTTTTACATTTCACTCCAAATACTGTTTTAGACAGAGACACTGATATGAAATGCATTAGTTATAAAAATGTCAGACATAGACTCAGATACTATTCCTGTTTTTCAGATATCTGCTCTATGGGTCATAATAGAATTAATCTGGTGGAGGAGGTTGTCAGCCTGATGGCCAGAGAAAAACACAGTCCGAAGGTCAGTACAGCCTGGACATGGTGACTGCTATCACAATTCGTCCTCTGGGAGACATTTATCAGTTTGTCTGTGTGTGTCTGTGTCTCTGTGTGTAGGTTCAGGAGTCCTTTGCCGAATGTGCTCTGGATATAAAGAAGATGTTTAGTGGAGACACAGTCAAGGCCAATCTGGAGTGGACCAGCGTCTGCCTCTCAAACATCATCATCTTGCTGCTGCGAGCCAACAAGACCCAACAAGCCTGGTAAGAGAGACAGCTGTATATCTGTCTGTCTGTTGTGCATCTGTCTTTCTGTCAGTCCATTTACAGGAGAGCTTTTACTGTAGTCTGACTCCACTAATCCTCACTGCCGTGAAATGCATCTCACTTCTCCCCCTCTCTGTTTTCCCCTGCAGGGACATGCTGAAGCTCTTCAAGTCCAAAAACATAGTTCCTATGTGAGTCTCTGCCCAAACTACAAACATAAAGAAGGAAAAAAAAAAAAGAATTATGTTGTCAGTGAAAGATTATTTATTTATTTATATATATATATATATATATATATATATATATATATATATATTTTAGTGCTGCTAGGATCACTTAAAAAAGGTGCCATCTGGAGAGATGTGTTCATGACATCCTCTAACTAGTAATTACAAGTAGTAAAATTGGAATTTTGTTGTCTCAAACATCTCCAACTAGTCACGAAAGGAGGTTTCAACACACATGTTACTATTACAAGGCAATAAAAACAGAATCAGTCATATTTATAGAAATAGTTGTTACATTCATTAATGAAGGTGACTCTGGATGTAACAGGTTAAACAAATTGTATTTATGACGCGTACATTTGGCATAAACCCTCGTGTTCACTGACATGTTTGACTGTGCGTTTCCTGCTGTGTTTAATCTCCAGTACGGGACTGTTGGATAACTTCCTGTCGCTGTGTCACAGCGAAGGCTCTCCCCAGAGAGCGGTGGAGCTGGTTCAGCTGTCTGCTGCCTTCTATTTGCCGGCAACACCAAAACTGGCAGAGCGAGCACTTACTTTGTTTGATCTGACTAAGGAACAAAGGTGAGCGTCCTTTGGCCTTTAACCATCATTTTATCTCGTGCTGTATGATTTTTGACTATATTGCTATGAATTCTGGTCAAAATAAGACTTTTTCAAACTAAACAAACATGACTGGCACAGCAACCGCATCACCCCATTCACCTCTGTTCAATCCTGAAGAATCTGTGGCTTCTTAAGGAGGCAGGGTTCAGTACTTCTGATAACTCACCAGTCAGGCTCAGAATAGTTTCCTCAGACAAAATAAGCCTTTATTTCGGTGTAACTTCTATCTTGCATTAGATTCATGTAAGAGGAAAAGAGTTGCCCTACACTACAGAGCAGTCAGGTATGTTTGTAAAACCAAGAGCTTTGGGGCAATGCTTTATTTCTCCAGGCTCCATCAGAATCCCATTTATGGAGATGACTGGTGTGATGGATGAACAAATTAACAAAAGAAAAATGATGAAGGACCAATCCATTGAGCGTTCGGGGACTAAAATAAAGAAGAGTGTTTTTTTTCTGTTCCCCAGCAGCTTCACAGTATCCCGTCCTTTTAAACACAGAGGAGAAATGTCTCAGATTATTACACTGCTGGAAACTACAGAGGAGAAGGGTTCTAGTATAATTTAATCTCAACATGATGTAAATTTCCTTTCCTAAAGAAATCTTGTTTTTATTGTCCCATTCAGAGCCATATTATCTGAACTGCAGTCTACAGAAGAGTCCTCTGACTGAAGGAGACGATGTCAACCACTATGATCCCGATCCACAAATCCGTAGAGAGTGTACTTGTTTCTATATCTGTGTAATGAAAATGTATGTCACATAAATAAAATCCAAACCTCTCTCATTGCTTTCTTTTGTGTTAGCTAGAGGTCGCTGTTTCACCTTGTTCAGGGAGCTGTCAGGCCTCTCACTTTACAAGATTATACCACAGTGTGTCATATTTCTTTCACATTTTAAGAATTAGATTGCCAACCAATGTTTATTGCTATATTAAAGCCCAATAACAAATCTGGAGCATCTTAAGCCAATAAAAACCTGATCCTGATTCTGAAACATGAATATGAAACTCACTATCATGACCACTTGAATTTCCCTCGGGATAAATATAGTATCTATCTATCTATCACAGATGGGCATTAGTATTTCCATAAAGCTCAATAAAATGTGGGTTAGAGAAAAAAGGCATTAAAATTTCTCCTGATGATAACTGACCAACTTCCTCAATGTACTGATAAGCTACTTCCTCTAAATCCTGCATATATGCCACATTTAATGGGGTCCGAATGCTGGTTTGCACATTTCATTGTCACATTTTATCTTTATAGATCTTCAGCAGGTTCAGAAAAAACAGATAAAAGATAACAGATAGTGTGGATGCAGGTATGTACTGTGTGTGTTATGCAGACTGAGGATTTTATTGACAGCATGTCTAGACAAGACAGGTACCTGAGGTGTGAGGAAGGTTTTTAATTAAATACATAATGATGTATATGTAGTTGTGTTTGTTTTAATTTAAAGGCATTTTTAGCTGCAGTCACTCTCAGTATCAATGCATATATAGAGAGGAAACATTGTCTGTACCTGTGTGTACATCATAGGTCTGTCTGTGTGTGTGTGTGTATTTGTGTGCAAGCGTGTACAGGTGTGTGTCTCAATCAAAATGTATTCTCTTCAGCCAATCATCAGCCGAGCTGCCGGCACGACCAAATAAGGACAAGCTGGCAAGAGTGAGTGAAGGAGTGAAGGACTGGGCGGATGGGGTGGTGGTGGTGGTGGTGGTGGTGGGGGGGGACTTTAAGATGGGTGTGGTCTGGAGTGTATTGTTCTCCAGAGGACCTGCCTGAAGCCATACACACACTAGTGTCACCTTTCAAACTTAAAGACTGCCTCTTTCCCAAGACCATGGGAAAACGCACATTCACACCTTCCCTCGTGCATTTATAAACTCTCTTACTCTTGCTCTCACACACACCAATTGATTTGTTAGACTCTGCAATAACAGCATGAAGGTTGTTTCTTTCATCCTCTGTTTAGGAGAAAATATCCTTACTTTGTTACTTTGTTCTTTCTGAACCAAACTTGCAGGTTTCTCATACACTGTGATTTGACACTTGTTACTTCTATGACAAGCGCTGTGGGTGTAGTTACGGTTTAGAAATGCCTCGAATGGGCAGCCTGAGAGACCTGGAATAATGGAATAAAGTGTTGCGTTACAACAACAATGGGGAGTTTGATTCGCCTGGATGAAAGGCGAACGCGTCACAAAATAGTTTGTGTTCCGCAAGCTTGCGAAAAACAACACTGCAAGTGGCCGGTCACAAGCATTCCTCTCTCCCACTCCTTTATGCAACGTGAATGTACTGTACTGGAGCGGGGGTCAGGGGTCAAACCTGTTCACAAACACAGGATGTGATGGAACATCCTCTAATGCTTTTAATACCTCTCCCACGTGATGCTTTTTAACATCTCTTACTTTATGTGAGGCTAAAATAAAACTGCAGTTTGGTGGATTTAGAGCGAGAGAGTGATGTTTTTCTTTCCTCCTAAAAGTTACTTCCTGAAAGAAGAAGAGAGAGTGAAGAGGATAAACAAGTGCTGGTGGTGGAAGGAAGGAGCAGAAAGAGGCACTAATGAAACTCTAAACTCCAGAGAGTTGCTGTATATCAGGGGAAATAAAGAGGTCAACAACTGAAGATAAACGACATATAGCAGCACAGTCTGCCCATGACAAGATTTCATGGTGATTGACAGCTATAACTGGCAGCCAGCACTGCCAAGCCCACACACTGGAAAGAGCAAAAGATGAAAATTCCTCAGACCTCAAGTCATACTGGCTTTCGGTCCGGCCTCATATTTCATTTCTAACCGGAGCTTTCAGGCTCAATAACCACTTAAATCCCACTGCTATTAACCTTTAATGCCCTCTTACACCTACCAACAGTGTGTTACATCCACTAACCTCAGAAGCCGTGCAGCCATTTAGAGCTGGCATTTTCATCCAGGAGCATGAAAGAATTGCTAAGGGATACTTTGGCATATGCATGAGGGATTGAACCCCATCACTCCGATTAGGATAAAGTGGATGACTTCACCAACCACCAGGCCATCTTACTGTCACTTCACAAGTTCAGCCAAAAAGTGTTTCCAGTTATATGCTCACTCGGCAAGCACGGGATGAGATTGGATTTAGGAAGTCATCCGTGTTAGCTCGGGGCTGAAGCAGAAAGAAATGTCTCATTTTTCAGAAGTGGGATGGATAAAGTTTGAGTTAGGGACAGCAAATAAACAACAAACCACAGTTGTGAGATTTATTGTATGACTAACAGCGTTGTTGGTTCTGGTGTCATGTGATTTGTTTATGATATAAAAAACATAGTATGTCATCAGACTTTATGCTTTGAATTTACTTAAATTACTTTACAGTATAGATAAAGATTTCAGTAAACACTATGAATGGAAAGCTGGAGCCCGCTGGTATATCCAAAATAAAAAATAAATGCAAACATCAAGAAATGTTTGTTTTAAATCCTCTTATGTGTCAAAAATTCTGCCTTTTAAGTTGGTTTTAAGGTGTGGACCCAAATCACTTGAGCTTTTTTCACAGCAGGTATATTTGCTTGTCAAACACAGGTGTACCTAATAACTTTCAATCATGGCTGCATTCCATTTAGCTGTTGAAGTTTTAAGGACTTTAGTACTGTGCGTGCTGGCACAGTGACATTGTTTATGGGACATCTAAATGGAAGTGACTCATCATTATAGGTATTAATTGCACTTGTGCTTTTTCTGCCATACAACAGAAAATATCTGCTGTGTAAAAAGATCTAAAAGAAGAAGAAATTGTTGATTAACGTCACCTAAGATTTCTGGGTGTTGAAGACCACCAAACACTCACATCTGTGCAAAAATCTGTTTTTTTATTTTGCGATCTTTTGTTCAGAGACCTTCTTTAAGGCAAAAACAGGCAGCAAGTGAATGCAGCAGTACAAAAGGTTGAACAAACATCCCTTGATTATCCTTAATGCAAAACACTTGTGCGGGTATTAAAGACGTGCTGTTCATTGTTCATCACTATACCTGCAGATGCTATGCAGTTGAAGCTGAGTTGTGTTGTTTCATAGAGTCGATTTAACATAGCCTACATTGTCAGATGAGACCACAGACTGTGATAAGTCATTGCGCTTGCAGTGATTCATGGCCGTGAAACATAGTGTAATAGTTAACTTAATGTTTACCTGAGTAAACATACACATACGTACTTGTGCACTTTTTATAGAATATTCAAATGGATGAGAGTCACATTTTGCACACAGTATCAGCTTCTGTTCTGTATGTGTGTTTGGTTTATGAGTCACAGAAGCATGTGTTTAAAGCATTCACCGCATCCTGCCAGAACTGCACAATGATCAGTCTTTCAGTCCATCTGTCTCTCTCTCAGTCTGTCCTGTCTGTGGCTCTTTCTCTCCCCATTCCTTCCTTTCCATGTGTTTCTCACACACATGGCTGAGGGGCAGAGGAGCAGCCAACAATAGTGAATCGACCAGCAGTTAATTTGGCTTGTTGACATACTATCTGTGTTATCACATGAGCTACTTGTCAGCTTCAAGCACCAGCAGACAGAATCCAAGGTCCTGCTGCTGCTGCATTCATATGGGAATCCAAATCATCAACCGCGGTCTTTTTAACATTTGACTACATTCCATTAGTCTTTGACTTAAATGTGTTGGTTAAATTGTACTTGAAGCAATTTAAAATAAATTATGACCATGTTACAGTATTATTTTTATTAAATTACATGTGTATTACAAAAACAAATAGAGAGAAGAGGGTCTGGCATCTTGGACTGATGAGAAGAACTGATATTGGTCTCATTCCTGGACATTATTATGAGTATTAATCATTATCTATTCCTTCTGCCATCCCCGGTGTCCAAGGAGGACTGCCTCTTCTGACCTTTCTCTATGTTTTTTCTCATGTTCTAACTTGAAACAGGTGCATTCACTTGTTGCCTGACCAGACTTCCTCTCTGGACCTTGAGGGCAGCCTGAGCTGATTGACAGCTTGCTCACTCTGTTCATTTTTGTTGCACGTTAATGGCTGGTCAGAGAAAGTGGCACAGTAAAACATACAACTGCCAGTAAGCAAGTGAGCTAACTGGCACTGTTGGTAACCGGACAGTAAAGTTCACAAAGTTTATTCAAGACATGCATTTGTACCATCAACTCTCACAACCAACGGCAGAATATACTGTATGTCTGTAAATAAAATGCAGACCAGGCGCCAAAACATGTAACCACACCAGTTCTACGGTAATATGATAGCCTCCTCTATTTTGGACTGTTTGGCCAGCACTGTCAGGACAGTCAGATTAAAGTTTGCAAACTCTGCAGAGTTTACTTTGCCTCCCCAAGCAACTCATTTAGGCCTCAGATTTCCCTGTTATAAACGCAGACGTGAATTTTTTTTTTACTGTAACCCAAATGTTACTGTGTACTGCTGTCGTTAAGTTAACTAAAGATCAGTCACAGTATAACTATAAAAAACTTTGTATGGGCTCAATACCTTTGAGACTTTGTTAACTTGTAGAAATTGTACTGACATCAAGAGCATCATCAAAAGATTTGTAAAAAAAAAAAATTGATTTACATTAAATTAATAACAATTTTCTGCTTTTTGCTGTTTTATATCACAGTAAATTCAATAACTTTGGGTTTTGGACTGTTGGTAGGACAAAACATGACATCTGAAGACGATTTGGACATCTTGATTTGGGCTCTCAGAACATGTAATAGGCATTAATGAAATTATTCAGTAATGAAATAGGCGCTGATTGCAGCCCATGCAGTAGCAACGCTGTTATAGTCTTTACTGGTCGCTGGCTCTATCCCATTCAATGACATCATTGTCTAGTCCTCTTTTTAATAGTTAAAAGTAAATCCAAAGCTTGGCAGGGGAAGTATTTTTATTTGTTTAAAGGAAAACTCAGGGCAGGTTAAAAGATAAGTGTGATTTTTGTGTGATTTGTATATTTTTGTGTGATTGTATATTTTATGACAAATTCCTCGTATGTGTAAAAACCTACCTGGCAATAAATCTGATTCTGATTCTGATAACATGTTCCTTCATTGATCCCCCTTAGGAGAAATTCAAGATTGACACAGCAGCATAGGGCAAAGTAATGCAAAAGAAAATATTACAAAATATAATAGAAAATATAAGACAGATGAGGGGTGTGGTGTTACTGTCGTCAGGATGGGGTAGCCAGGGTGTGAATGGGGGTACCTGAGGAGGTGGAGGGGTTTTGTGAGTCAAACCTGTTGAAGAACAGGTTTAGCTCGTTGGCACATCCCTTCGTCTCCTCGGGTGACAGTTTTGGTTGTATGAGGTACTTCTCCATCGTCAGTGAATCAGATTGGAGTTGGTACACCCCCAGTTTGGAGACGCAGACAGGAGTTTCAGTGCAGAAGCTAAACAATGCACTGCTGTGGATGGGGGCAACAACAAAACATATTTTGGACACATAAAAAAAAGATAAACCTAGAAAAATCAATATAAGCTTAAGTGTTCTCTATATTTAGAATATTTTCACCACTTTACTTTTCCATCAGACAGCTCTTTCTGACCGGAAACTAAAGCCTTATATTGTTCTCCTCAAAGCCACCAGACTCCTTTGACTAAAACAAAAATTTTACCTCGCATAAAACGGAAGAAATAAAGTCCATGTCAAGTTCTTGTTAACCTTACAGAGGAGCGACAGAAAGCATCCTGACTGGAAAACAATCTAGAATGTGATGTGCACGGCCCAGGACAGGAGGACTCTGCAGCGGGTGATTAATACCGTCTAGAAGATTATTAGTACTCAGCTAGCCGGCATCAGTGCTGTTGGTGAGGTGTCTGCAGAGAGCCCAAAGGATACTAAAAGCAGCAGCAGTACATCGCTTAGCTTCCTTGCTGGTTCTCCTGTCTGCTTCTTCAAAATGGGTCACATGTAGACTGCTATTTACTGTAGGTAATACACTGACTATAGAGAAGTCCCTTAACTATCACTGTAACAGAGAACACTCAAATTCACCATTGAGCTCAACCAAATCCAACCAGTGTTTTACTGTTTGAATTAATGGAGCCGTTCAGGGTAAAACTGCTAGAAAAAGGACATAGTTGACCGTCAAACCTACCTGGATAAATAAAGGTTAGAAGAGCCTTTAAATAATGATGAAAACTGTGGGAAATGACACTATTCAGATGTAAAAAAAAGTGTCAGTATCAATCTTTTGAAACTATGAATGAATGCATGTAATCTATATTGTGGCTTTTACAGTATGATCATAACACTGTGCCCTCCTTTACTGCTGCATCACTGCTGATCAGATGTCTAATATTACAATGTCAGTCATCACGCATTATGAAAGCACTGAAGCACTGAAGCAATCAAATGACAGTGAGCAAGTTTGTGCAGGACACTAACTCTTCAACTCTGGATCAAAATCCACCACTGTGTTTCCCAGAATAATGGGTACAAACTGAAAAGTCAAGGGCTTCTGGTTTCTGCCGCACAGGGAGGAATTTAGTCTGACAAGATTCAGCACATCACCCCAGAGAGAGGGAGATATGAGAGGGAAGAGAAAAAAGGGGGAGGGAGAGGAAGGAAAGGTATGAGGAGAGTAGGAATGAGAGGAGGAGGAGGAGGAGGAAAGAGGAATTCCTGCGTGTAGAGACTGGTAGCAGCAGCAGAGCTCTGACAGTTCAGCCACAAAGTTACATTCACTGATAAAGCAGAATAAATAATCTACTGCAGATCACTATTGGAACACAATCTGCCTAACCTTGCCTGATGGTGACACGATGTGTTCAATTGCTTACTGTAAAGGAGAGCTTTTAGTACTTTATTGTGTATCTAGGCTGGTCATATATAGAAACCAGTCACTACAGTGGCATGTATGACTTATGTATGAGTAGTACCTCCTCAGGCTTTAATGCAGGTGTGAGTCAATTGGGATTTATAAGGTCCATTAAGCGGCGGATGGGCGAGGCTGGTCTGAGAAATACTGAGCTGCCTAAAAATGAGGGCCGAAACTTACATTAAGCATTCACAATAAGGATTTCTAGGCGTCCTTCTGGGCCTCATCCCTGCGTCCTTGAGGCTCATTAGGTTCTGTGAGTGAAAATGTAATAGGCTATATCTCAATTCATTCTTTTTTACTCAAGGAAATTAATATTCGTGCCTGCAAGTGGCACATTTTTTATCAGTTCAATATTAAAAGAGTGATTGGAAACACATTTGTTGTTAAATAATGTCATAAACAGTCTAAATTAGCCATTTATCACCTTTTAAACACTGGATTGAATTTCTAACTTTACATGTTAAAGTCCACCTTCCAAAAAGTGCACTTTTTTAACCAATAATGCACCTAAACATGTGGCAGCTAGGGCCAAACACTGGTGGTTTTAGCATAGAAAATGGCCATAAAGTGAGCAATATTTAATTTCTCTTTTACATTTTTCTCCTCCTGTTTTCTTGGTGAATATTATAGGCTCAAAAAACTGCTATGAAATGCCAGCCTCCCCTACAGACATTTATGTTTTCTTGCTGAGTGGCCAGACGTTACTGCTGATGGGAGGGAGGCGGAGGAGGGAGGTTGGTTCGGGAAGGGGAGGGGGGTGGCGCTGAGGGGGCGGTGCGCTTCTCCTCACCGGGCGGTGTCAGCTGAAGAAAACGGGACAGAGGAGCTGCGAGAGGCCGACAGAGGGATTCGTTTCCCCGGGTGGTATTACTGAATTGCACCAGCGGACTTACAGGTAAGAGGAAGGAGCGTTGTAGGGCGTTTTCTCGCGGCTCATGAGGGGAAGGGGGGAATCTTGTGTAAGGTTTGCTGATTATTTATAACTCACTGCGGCACATCTGCTCCTCTTCCATCCAGCAAAAAAAAAAATTAAAATAAAATACATTTACCAGCTCACCTCAGGGTGTGTTTAGAGATCATGAATCAATAATATGCAGTCGGTCGTTAAAGATGCGCAGTATTTGTGGGTTATAATGTGTATTCAAAAAATATATTATTATTAGTATTGGACTTTTTTAATTTTAATTTTATGTAACTTAATCCAGCTGATGTATTATGGAGAATCCCCCTGCAGTTAATGGAGCTTCTAAAAGTTAAAAAAATGATTTATTGTGCTAGAATATGTCCATACTTAACAAGGCAAAGCTGTTCCTGCACTTAATGCTGGAGAATATAAAATCATAAATGGTTACTTCAGTGTGAACAACATGTTTTATGGTTGTTTCCAAATAGCTGCATTCTTCTCAGTTTATGATAAATAATACTGGAGTGTGGCTGGCAGACAGCAGCAGCCATGTGTCAGGATGAACTGCATCGTCATTCTTCAATAACGTGTGTGTGTGTGTTTGTGTGTGTGTGTGTGTGTGTGTGAGGGTCCATCAGGGCTCCTGAAGGTTATAAAGAAGACACTCCTTCAGTCATGTGCATCAGTGGATGAATGAGTCCTCAGAATTGAAATCTGGAGGACAAATGGCATCCGGACAATGCAGTGTCATTGATTATCTCAGCACCAGACCAAGAAGATTCATTTAATTTGTTAACTTTATTAGCTGCCCCCCCCCAACACATACTTACAGATACATAGTTCTCAAACATGTTATGTATGTATCATATAATGTTGTTTCTATAACACATTTCTGTGATTTTATGATTAATATTGGCGTAAACCGACTTCTAATCCGATTCTACTATAATTTACCCAGACAAACAGAGCAAGGACAAACCTTAAAATCCTTCAAAATAAAGGCCTGTTCTTCCTGCGGCAGTGACATCTGGTGGCAGTAAAAAAATATATTTTTGTAATCAAACAATGCTGCATGAGAGATATTTGCAAAAACACCAAACACAATCATGTCTCTACATATTATAAACATAGCTTAAGCTTAATGCATTTCCTAATTGACTGGAAATACACTCACAAGTGCTTATCAAAACACCTCCACACCATTGTCTCCAGTTTGGCGAATCGGTATTGTTTTAAGGTCTTCAGATGTACAGTATATATCGTCATGAGGAGGATACTGTCTGCATTAGGTGCACTTGCCTGTTTTGCATATAGAGACCTTGGTTACCCTGTCATTCCCTGCCTATATCTGCGTGTTTATCTTTGTCTGGTTTACCATGCAACCACTACGTTTGCATGCATGCGCCAGAGCGTGGCACATTTGTTTATTTGCCAGTGCTGTAACGTGACCATGGCACGTGGAAATTTTATATGATGCTGAGAGGTATCCTTATTGAAACTGAGCACATTTTTACATGAAAAGGTGATTTAAATTTGAACAGATATTTAAATCCAACATGATTTCCTAGCCAAACTCTTTTTGTTATCTAACGTATCTTCACACTAACAGGTGGAAGACTGAAAAATGTAATTAATTTCCACAAGTTAGATCTAGGTTTCTCTTCAAATCTGATCTTTTGATGGATGGCCAAATAGGGGAAACAGCTGCAGTATGAGAGGATCAGGTCTCTTATTTTCTATATGATGTTTGGAGGTAGATGCCATTGATATCTCAGATTTATAATGCCTGATTTGTCTGAATGGCTTTGGCTTCTGGCTTGTATTGATTGTCTATGGACGTAAATACATCAAGTTGCCATATCCGTCTTGTGTCAGCCAGCAGTTCTCAAATTAAATTGAAAAGTACGGACTAATCTCACTACCTCTTATTACTGGGACTGTGTATCTAGGCCGATATCTTGCTACTGAAAGCATCATCCTAGCCTAATGGGCTAAGATCTAATGGGATTTATTTATCTCTTACTGGAGGTAGATATATCTGTGTCTGCAAGCTGAAACAGATATATTCAGATACCTCATTACATTATCCTATTAAGTGGTATTAAAGGGTCAGCTTGCTCAAATTACAAAATAATTCTCTCATACAACAATCTTCCAGTAACCTTAAGTAGATACTAAAGGGGATGATACATTATATTTTCAGGTATTGTGATAAAAATGCTCAGATAAAGAAGTATGTTGTGTTTTTGAATTCTTTGAGTAGACACCTCCATTGTATTTAGGTGGTAAAGAGATATAATATCTTTAGGCTCACCTTTTAGCATCTTGGTAAAACCCAAATTAGTTTCTCCTACATACTTCACAGCTGTCAAATACAGATGCGAACAGTGTTCAGTTAGTTGCAATCTGCAACTTCACCGCTAGATGCCACCAAGTCCTACACACTGGTCCTTTAACCCTATTTGCAAGTGGAAAAGATAGATTTTTTTATGATTTGGGTGAACTCCTCCGCCACTTGTAGATGTAAATATGTGGATCAAATCATATCTGTTTTTGTTCTAGTGAGAAATATTGAATATCTATATATAGTAGCTGTAATATAAAGATCTGTCTGCATAAGCTCTAAAACAGACCTTCTATACCCCCATTACAGAATCATATTACACCAAAGGCAATCTACATAAATCAATTAGATGTTACATAAGGGTCTCTATGCTGATGTAACGCTAATGCTAAATGGCTCTTTGTATAATAGATCAAGCTACTTTCTATTTTCCTGGCTGAGTTAACAGAGCCGCGCTGTTTGAGAGCTGTACATAGCTCCAGGCTAACCCGAGCATTTAACAATTAATAGAGGAATAATGAACACACCATGCTATCATATCTCACAGACCTAGGAAATACAGCCCTGAACCATCCTATTTAACAGATGTGTGTCTGTTGTACTCTCTGCCCAAGTTATCAATCAATATGCTCACGTTCAGTACGTTAAACTCGGCGCTGAATCTTCCAAAGCAGATACTCAAAATATCATCAATAAGACTTAAATGAAATGATTATTATTAAAGTGAGACTGTATAACTATTGAAAGTGGAGTCTGAGTCATTTTTAGTAATATCATTCGTATCCATAGTGTCCAGTGTTCAGCAGAAGTCACATAGGGTTCAGTTTAATGCATACACATTTCAGGCTGATGTTCTTCCTTGGTATGCAAAATGGCAACAATATTTTAATATTATGAAAAGCATCAGTGTGGCTGACAATCGTCAGTGCAAAGGAGCTCACAACATCACACCATTGTATCCTGGCGACACAGCTATACGCACAGCTAAAGGGAACAGAAGATTTATGGGAAACGCTCAAGCAGTAGCATATATATATTATACATATATTTTAGCATGTCAACAGGCTACCAATCATCTCAACTATGGTTTGTTTGCCTGAATTGAATTGAGGTGCTGGAGATAATTTAATTGTAAAGTATCTCAGTGTTTAAAAATGGTATATAGATATTGACCCTCATTGCTAAAATTGTATCTAAATGCAGCTTTTTTTTCTTGTGTTCTGCTGTTTTACAGTATTGTATAGTAAACATGTCAACAGTCAGTGCTGAGGAGATGGAGGAGATCAGGGAGGCCTTCCAGAAAGTGGGTGAGTAAAAATGTGTGTGTGTGTGTGTGTGTGTGTGTGTGTGTGTGTGTGTGTGTGTGTGTGTGTGTGTGTGGATATTGCAGACAGACACCCATCAGAAACGATATATCAGTCAATAATGTTTGAAGTGGGGTAAAGCAGCTGACAGACACATGTTCTTATACACTATGTGTGCTCCATCTGGCAGACAGATGTTTTTATGGGATTTATGGAAAGAAATGAAACCTCACATACTCATACACATTTCAGTCATTGGAATTCCACGTATGTTTGCCATTTGTTTTTGCATTTTGGCGAGAGTGAGATGAGAAGATTGGTACCACTCTATCTGTGTGTGTGTTAAATATGAAGATGGAGCCAGGATATGGTTAGCTTAGCTTAGCATAGCCCATAAAACTGCAGATTTACATTTTACACAGCACAACAGACGGTGTTCGTGCTCCCAGGTTGTTAAATACCGATGCTATGGGTTGCCAATCAATTTCCAAGCCCAAGGTGAAATAACCTGGGTGACATCCCCAGTGTTATTTTTTCAGACCTGACAGAGTTAAACTGCGATAGTTATTTCTTATTGTACACAATTATAAACACATGCATTTAACCAGCAGAGAACACTTAATCTAGTCCCACTCGAGTTCTTTAGTATAGCAAATATTACCCACAAATGTCATGTAGATACGGACTGAATCCAGATGGTGTTGTATCAGTCGGGAGTAGAGATGAGCAGCGTGGGCTCTGGATAAAATATTGCCTGAACTTTTCCCTCCCTCTTGCTTCCCGCCCCTCTCTTTTCTAGATGTGGACAGCAACGGGTACATCAACGCCTCTGAACTCAGTAATCTGTTCCATGAGGTGCGCTGTCCTCTGCCTGGATACCAGATCAGAGAACTCCTTCAGAAGCTGGACAGAGACAACGACAGCCGCATCAACCTTGAAGAGTTCACGGCTGTAGGTAACACTAACAAATAAACTAACTCAGCTAATTCGCAGCTTTACTAACAGTTCACCAACTAACTATTGTTGATTAAATAAAGGATATCTGACTCACATTCAACTGATAAATCAGCTGGTTTATATTAAGATAAATTGATTACTAATGTACTCTCTGTGATATCTGTCTAACTAACAAATGGGTAAATCATAGATATTAATCAATATCTTGCCACAATGTGAGTCTAAGCCTTGGTTTGTGTTTTTGTGTGCACATTCAGATTTTCCAGGATATGAAGGACGACCGCATGGCCCAGGGTTTCAGGAAGGCTCTCAACAAGAAAGAAGGCATTGTAGCCATCGGGGGCACCAGCAACATCTCTAGTGAAGGAACTCAGCATTCGATCTCTGGTTAGTAAAGCTGCACAACTTGTCTGATCACTGATTAACACAAATACCAATAGAATGACGTAATCAATACCATCACGCCAACGTGACACTGGACTCAACCGTATTTCAGAGCAGGAGCGCTTCGCCTTTGCCAACTACATCAACTCTTCTTTGGAGAAGGATCCAGACTGTGAACATGTCCTGCCCATCAACCCCAGTACTGAAGCTCTGTTCAAAGCAGTGGCAGACGGCGTCGTGCTTTGGTAAATATTAACGAGGCATATCTTAAAAATAAAGTGGATGCTCTCAAATCATATGTTCTTCATCATATTGATCACCCACTTTGTAATTATCTGTACCTTTCTATCCAGAACCTCTGTTAACTTTAAGCTTTTAGGCGTGGTATCAGTTTAGTGTGATGATATGTTTTTCTTATGTGTGTTTTTGCAGTAAACTCATCAACCTCTCTGTTCCTGACACCATTGATGAGAGAACCATCAATAAAAAGAAGCTCACGCCTTTCACCATACAGGTTAGTTGGTCAGTCGCTTATCTAGTCCACAAATGATGTGTCATCTGAGAACACAATATCAAAGGGACTGAAGTTACAGTTTATATATTTATATAGTATATATATATATACTTAAGACATAAAAGCCATTTAAAAAACAATAAACTGATTTTATTTGACAATGACACCATGTTTATATCTAAAACTACATGACTTATTAAACATATATACATTATATCACATGAATCTGAACTCCACTTTGGCCTCTTTCATCACTTGTTCATCAGTTTCCTCCTGACTTTGTGTGTATTTTTCCCCCCCTCAACAGGAGAATCTGAACTTGGCTCTGAATTCAGCCTCGGCCATCGGCTGCCAGGTTGTCAATATTGGAGCTCAAGATCTGAAGGAGGGAAAACCTCACCTGGTGCTTGGACTCCTCTGGCAGATTATCAAGATAGGACTGTTTGCTGATATAGAGCTGAGCCGCAATGAAGGTATGTACACACACACACACACACACACACACACACACACACACACACACACACACACACACACACACACACACACACACACACACACACACACACACACACACACACACACAGAGTCAGACCCGAGTGTGGTGCTGCAGGACATTAAAGTACATCATATCTGTCTGTAGATATAAAACTAAACATACCCACAGACAAATCCTTTTTGCTTTTATTCACCACTCATTCAAATCAGATTCCTGGTTGTGTTTCTGTGTACAGCGATAGCAGCGTTGCTACAGGAAGGCGAGAGTCTGGAGGACTTGATGAAACTCAGTCCTGAGGAGCTCCTTCTTCGCTGGGCCAATTTCCATTTAAAGAAAGTTGGCATGTCCATATCAAACTTTTCTGGCGATATTAAGGTAAGGAAGTGTTACTGTGATCTTATTGTCTCTCTTACTGTATTACCACTGAAATTATGATTTCACTGCTAAATCCTCACAGGGTTTTAACTGAGTCAGCTTAGTTCTGCAGTTGTTTGAGGTAGTGTGCTGCCATTTAAAATGTCTAATAAACTATTTATTTTGCAGAAACGTTACATATTGAAAAAAAAAAGCTGTCTCTATATAAAGAACACACCACCATATGCATAAAATCTGAGTAAAAACAGGTTTACCTTTTATGCAACAAGAACTATGGGAATTACATTTTAGTATTTATCGCAGTCTCTGTAAAATCCTACATCAAAGCCCATTTTTACCTTTGACAACACTGTTATCCAGCGGTTGGAGGTTTAAACACAAAAATCGATACAGTGTTTATAAGAAGAAGAATTTTGCAGTATACAAGTGCATCAATATTTCCTGACCCTCCTCCTTGTGGTGGGGAGTAACTCTCAGTGTGGTTTGGTACGTGGTCACATCTCCCTGTCTATCTGTTTCTGTGCAGGACTCCAAGGCGTACTTCCACCTGCTTGAGCAGATCGCTCCAGACGGCAGCAAAGAGGACGTTCCACGGGTTGACGTCGAGATGACTGGTCTTTATGTAAGTTGATAAAGCTACAGATTGAATACTTTTTATCTTAGACAGCAAAGTGTAATTTTTATACTCTATTTATTTAGTATTATTTTAGTAGTAAAACTGATATCTACTGTATATGGAAATTAGTATGATTGCTTACTGAATTTCTTCATTACATACATAAATGCTACAGAAGAACTGGACACGTTTGCAGTATAATTTAGTGTAAGGGACCCTTTAAAGGATGTTCTGTATCCCAGATGAGAGAGCCTGTTTTCTCCCAGCACAATGTAAATCTGTATTTGTGTGTCTGTGTGTGTGTCACCAGGAGAAAGATCTTACGAAGCGTGCAGAGTGTATGCTCAAACAGGCCGACCGCCTCGGCTGCCGACAGTTTGTAACCGCCACTGATGTCGTGTGTGGAAATGCAAAGCTCAACATGGCCTTTGTAGCCACACTCTTCAACAAACACCCAGCTCTCACCAAACCAGAGAACCAAGAGTGGAACCTGGAGAGTAAGCGTGGATGAATAATCCCTCTCTCACATACAGAATACTTGAAAATGTCCAGTAAAAACCTCCTGTGCAGTCCTGTGTCTGCCAGGCTTACCTCTCTCTCTCTCTTACTGTCTCTCCCAAGGTGAAACCAGAGAGGAGAGAACTTTCAGGAACTGGATGAACTCTCTCGGAGTCAGTCCACATGTTCACCATATCTACGGGTCGGTATCTAAGTTAGCCTTTCTTCTCTTTATTCCCACGCTGATGCCACAACTCGCTGTTTCATTTTGGCATGTGTGTATATGTGTGTTAATGCAGCGACCTGCAGAATGCCATGGTGATTCTGCAGCTTTATGAAAGAATAAAGGTGCCAGTGGATTGGGACAATAGAGTCAACCGCCCTCCATTCAAAGGAGTAGGAGGAGGACATTTAAAAAAGGTAAATGCACATACTACTTTCCAAACTGCTACAGTATCTAAGAAAAGATAAGATAAGATAAGATAGAAATAATTGCACCATACAAAAAAAATATACAGTATATATATACATATATATACATCAGTAATTTAGCAGGAGACAATAAGCTAGACAGGGCTATGAATATACAGTATAGGTCTGAATACTAATGTGCATGTAAGAAATTATATTTACATATATATTTATGTAAGAACTATCTACAGCAGGGATACTCTGATTTAGTTTACCATAAAATATACTTACTTTGTGCATCTGTGTGTGTGTGTGTGTGTGCAACAGATGGAAAACTGTACCTACGCTGTGGAGCTGGGCAAGAAAAGCGCTGGTTTTTCCCTGGTGGGAATTGGCGGACAGGACCTCTATGATGGAAATCCAACTCTAACTCTGGCACTGGTGTGGCAGCTGATGAGGAGGTAACTAACACTTAATAAACAAGCTTAACTCTATCACATGGTCTTTTTGACGTGTGTCGCAATAATAAACAAGCAAAAACACCACTGTGAAGAAAGACAGCGTCCTCAGACTGTTTGAGTTGCTGTACAGCCCAGAAGAGGGAGATGGCACTGTTCTCCCAGCACAGTTTCTGTCAGAGTCACATAGTGGAAGGACTGAAAGACAATGGAAAACAAAGGAGTTTATGGGAGATGTAGTATTAATTTAGCAAAATATGACATAACATTGGAACTGACAGTATTTGGAGGCCACCAGTCATCTCACATTGTCTAATTTATTTACAGTAATTATGGCAAGTTATTCTATTGCATCTTAAAATAATCTGCCTACCTGTTTAACTCACTGATCGTACCACAGGCTCCATAGTGTAGCTAGAAATGATTTAATTGTTGATATTCATACATCTGATCTTCTAATCTACGCAGGTACACTTTAAATGTTCTTGAAGACCTCGGAGATGGAGAAGTTGCAGGAGATGATTTGATCATTTCATGGGTCAACAAGACTTTGGCTGGGGCTGGCAAGAGTTCCTCTATCAAAAGCTTTAAGGTGGGTTTTACTTTAGATATTTTAAATGCAACCATCCTGTGTGCAGCGTCATCGTCGTAGGAGAAAGTATACGTTTTGATCTTTCCCCAGCAAAGAAGCTCAGCTCTGGATTATGTTTATACTGTATGTTATATGTTCAGTATACATGTGTGATATGTGTGTGTGTGTTTCTCTCTGTTCAGGACAGAGTGATCGGTACCAGTATTCCGGTTCTGGAAGTGATTGACGCCATTCAGCCTCATAGTGTGAACTTTGAGCTGGTTAAAACAGGAAGTCTGTCAGACGAAGACAAACTGGACAATGCCAAGTAATCCCCTACCTGCTTTTCTCTCACTGTGTGCCTATGTGTAATTGGCATTATATTTGGAAAGAGTAATAAGGTTGCAGCAGCCTGAGGCGGTAACACAAAGTATTGCTTGACTGCACTACTTTGTGTTGTACAGTTTCCTGCAGCCTTCAAAGAATATACAGGAAGTCAGAAATATTTACATTCTGATAGATACATCTGTAGCCTACGTGTAGTTTTTAGACCACTTTATATATGAACAAACTTTATTGCTATTGTTATCAACCAGAGAAGATATATTTAACAGATTAAACCTTTGCACAACATTAGGCTTATAGCATGGCTCTAAAAAGTGCGGCTGCCTTGATCTTCTGAGGTTATCGTTGCCCATTTGTACACGACGTCAGAGCAAGTCGGCATCAAGTTGTACACCGGCACGAAATTGTTTGGCGATCGCTAGTGATGACATGACAACCATTTCTCCACATATGCATGTACATATATATATATATATTTATTTATATATATATATATGCAAACTCTGGTGAGTGATAAAAAACTCATTAGAGAACTAGAATTAGAGAACATTCACAATAACACGGATAAATCAATGATCAATGAAAATATCATATCACATATTTGTTGCATAAACAAGCAACTGAAAACTACAGTGAGTGTCACAGATATAATATGTTGCCATAGTGATCCTGACTGTGACCCTTTCCCGCACCAGGTATGCCATTTCCATGGCGAGGAAGATCGGGGCCAAAGTCTACGCCCTGCCGGAGGACTTGGTGGAGATCAACCCCAAAATGGTGATGACCATCTTCGCCTGCCTGATGGGTAGAGGCATGAAGAGGGCATAAAGGAGACACACATACGCTCACATACTCACACACACACACACACACACACACACACACACACAATGACTGACTGCCTGTTTGATTGTATGAGACATGAACAGAGTGAAAATAGCTTTATCGTTTTGTTCCTTTAAGGTTTTTCCTTCATTAGCATAAATAGAAGTGTCACTTTATTCCTCTATTCTGAGTTCAACTGTTAGGATACAGGAATGAACAATAACATGACACAAACAGTGGTGATCTTTGGGCTTGAAAGGAATGTGTATTTTCTTAATGTTCAGATAATGAAGTGAGACTTCTATAACGGCTACATGGCAGATATTTGGGTTTTTTGTTTTTTCTGGAGCTCGGTTTCTCGGGTCACTACGGTGGTTGAGTGATTAGCAGTGTCTCATTAGGAAGGACTCAACTTCCTATACTTCCTATAGATATGAATACAAGTGTGAGTGGATTTGTCTAGACTGGCAACCAGTCCAGGGTCTGCCCAGTGCATGCTGGGATAGACCTGTCCTGTCCGTGGCCCTGATGAGGGGTAAGCCTGTTGAGAACAATAAAAGTTTTTGTGTCTTTAAATCTAAAGGCTGTGATACATGGGAAACATTTAAAGATTAACATAAAGCAACAATTCAAGCTAGTGATTTGGCGAGTTTTTCCTCAACATTTTTTATGTGTAATGAGATTTTATTGCACTTTTACCTCTGCATTCCTGCTTTTCCCCCAAACACATTACTTAACATTTGCATTGCATCCAAGTTTCCCATGTGTCACTGCCTCATGATGTACCGACTAAGTTCTGCTGTATCTTCCAATGTGCCAGCAAATTCACAGTATGAGCATTTATTGTACTTAAGCCATAATATAATATTCTTTACTGAATACCTTTGGGCCTTTTTTATATACGACCAAAGCTGTGCAAGATTACAGTCAGTGTATGTCTTCACACTAGCATCTATAAAACTGAATACCTTCATTTGTTTATTTAACCCAACCATTGATACTGATGCAATTAAGGTATTTTTAATGAGATTTTAAGGGGATATTCGATAGGTTAATGGATGTAATACATGTGTACCTTTCTTTACAACATGTTTTTAATGGATTATCTTTAAGGGCTTTCTAAGTGGTAAAACCCCCTTAAATCTGACTGGATGTCATCCATTTATTGTTGTGTGTTAAGGTGAAATCCTATTGGTAAACGGTGAAGGTGGGTAAACCCTCAAACCTTTATAGACCAGATAATCTTTTAATACCCATCGATAATATATCTATAAATGTATTCATCAATCTACCCTAAATTTGGGGTGAACCCATGAATTTGCACCTTAGTTGAAAGGTGCTAATCAGGTACAAATTAACGATTACCTGCAATCCTGTTTTGTATATTTCAAGGACTTATTTAACCCTTAAAAACACCTTCATTAATTCAGAATTAATTAAAAATCCTTTAATATATTATCCATCCATCCATTGACGTATCCATTATAAAACCACAAATTTGTGGGACTTACATACCTGAAACCTGCATAAGAATCCTTTAAAATTTAATTGAATTGCACCTTAAAATATTTCAGACCCCTCAATGTTGTCTGGAGATGATTATTAATACAGGAACAGAACATCTATATTTGATGAGTTGAAGATGTAGAACTGATCCAAGTGAACAGTGTCGAAGATTTATCTGTTCCTAATTAAACAGCCTGATTGAAATATGACTTAAATTGTAAGAAACATCCTAAGACCGATTTCTAGTCCTGTATTAATCTAAAATATTAATACATTTAGTCTTAACACTGCAGCTGAATACGTGGATATGTTATCCAGTTTTGTTGCTGCTGATTTTAACACTTGATATGTCTTTTTTGTTGTTGTTTTTCTTCCCCAAATGTTTCTCAGTAAAGCATTTTCCAATAAGCTGTTTATCTATGTCAGCTCTTTGGAATGTTATGAAAATAAAATATATTGCTTTACATGTTAGCAATACTCCAAAAATCCTGTGTACAATCAGATAAATAATGAGAATTAAAAGAAAATAAAAGCATTTTTCCATATTCTGTTTGATTTCTATTTTCTGTTGCTGTTCTTTTTCTGTCCTGTATTGAATATCTGGTGTGACAGTGGATCTCCACCGCCCTCCACTCTGTCTTCACACGCCTTGAAAATAACAACACCCACATCAGAAGGCTTTTTGTTGATTTCATTTTAGCATTCAACACGTTCTTCCCCCGTGAAACTGAGCACTTTGGGCTCAAGTACCAAACTCTGCAACTGCATGTTGGACTTCCTCACAAATAGATAGACAGTTCAGTTTGGTGGTAACACCTTCTCCACTCTAGTTCATAACACTGGAGCCCCTCAGGGCCGTGTGTTCAGCCCCCTCCTGTTCACGCTCTACGCCCACAACCTCATCCAACGACATGTAGACTCTGTCCCCCAGCTGCCTCCCCAGTTTGACGTCAATTACTATCAGATTTATAATTTAGATACATTTTGAGAACAACATGTCAAAAAAAAAAAATGTATTTAATGATCTATTGTGTCCATAGTTTCAACTAGGCTTAAGTTCAATTAATAAAAAACATGTATTTAGAAAAATGGAGAGAGAATTGGAAATAAAACAATTAATTAAAAAGGCATTTCTTTTTTAGTATTTTTGGGGCTTTTATTGCCTTTATACAATAGTGACAGCTGAAGATAGACAGGAAAGTGGGGCAGAGAGAGGGGATGACAGCCTTTAGATGTTTCTATTAAATTCTTTACTAATGTGCCACAATAATTAGAGTTAAAATATCGTCAATTGGCGGCTTCTTTTAACGAATATTGATATGTGATTCTTTGTGATTAAATCTGCATTTATTTCTGGACACCATATGAATAACATCATACATCAGTAGAGCTGCGGTGGAGCAAGTTCTTGGGAATCAACATCACAGAGAACCTGTCATGATTGAGACATGTCACTTGTTTTAATGCGGTGGTGTTGCCAGGCTGTTAACAGTGTGGTTGATATGATATCATGATAGTAGTATGGTTAATCAGAGCTGCGAGGCAGTTGTTGAGCTTGCTGGATGTGTCCTGAGTCTAATTCAACCAATCATGTGTGAGATTCGGACGAAAAGAAATTACTCGCCATTACCCTTCACATCCTTTAATTATTCATGTGTCTGAATTTGGGATGAATTATGTTTCATTACCCTAAATTCAGAACACACATCGAGCAAATTCTATTTATTCATCTGCTGAATCTAAATAGCATTTTGGATTAAAATGCAGTTTCTGAAATAAAATTCACATCTCAATTCACATGTGCAGGTGTGTGAATAAAAACACATCCCTCTCAGTAACCAAGAGAATATAGGCACACGAAGACACACTTGTACTTTAGAGGCCACTTCAAACAAGGTTCTTGAATTCAGATGAGCTTGGTGGTTGAAAAGGAACACACGCACACACACACAATTTGCAATTTAAACGATGCTTTTGTCAAGTGCCATGTGATCATTCCTTTGATCGGTTACATTTGTCCACTCCATCCATCCATCCATCCATCCCTTCATATGAGTGTACGTCTGCCCTTCGTGATTAATGTCTTTTGAATGTAACCAAATAGATAGAGGCGATAGAGATGGGCTGCAGCTTAAACCACAGACGTGAACTGAACGTGATGGACTGATGAACTATTGTTGGATCAGAGAAATTTAACAGGTTTGTTGATTTGGAACATCTTTCTATCCCTCCCTTTTATGATCTGTTGTGATAACTACTATACAGCTTGTTGCTATGCCATCTGGTTTCCTTGGTGATGCATGATACAGGATGACCTCTTCTTGGATGACCTTCCTTTTTTGACTGTGGGTTCAGCATTGCATGTGTGTGTGAAGGCTAGTGAGTTGTGTTAGTTTGGCAGTCTGCATCAGCCTCTCTATGTTTGCATGTCATTTTATTGTGTGTTATTAATGTATGTCATGACTGTGTCTGTCTGCCTGGGTGATACGTGTGTTTGTGTGTGTGTGTGTGTGTGTGTGTGTGTGTAGTGTAGTAATGTGTTTGGTTCTTTCTGTAATGAACAAATGAAAATGAATTGAATCTTGCCATGGTGTATGTGTGTGTAGTATGACAGGCACAGTGCAGGATTCACACAGGCTGTCTGTGAAAACATGGACAGAGGAGGAGAGTGACCGAGCTGACAGCACACTTAGCAGGTACACACACATACATACACACACACACACACATACATTTATAGGATTTTATGTGCGGCGCTGGTACCTGTACACACATTCGTAGGTTCATTTGTGGAACTATCCATACTTTTACTGATGTGTTGTATGCAATGTGTTGTTGTGTAATTTTGCAATCATGTAACATTATAAACATCTTTTAAAGCTTTATTGTCCATATTTTGGATGTTTAATTTAGACTTTATCGTTAAAGGTCCAGTGTAACATTTAGGAGGATCTATTGACAGAAATGGAATATAATATTCATATAATTTGAAATGGAATATAATATTAATATAATTTGAAATGGAATATAATATTCATATAATTTCCACCTTAGTAGTTTAGTAGTTTTAGTTTAGTTTTAGTTTTTTAGTTTTAGTCAAGTTTAATTTTCTGCTTATATTTTGCACTCCATGTCCTACTTGAACAATGCATAGTGTATATACTTTAATTTATAGTTTCTATCTTCTAATATTAAAAATTTTAATTTTTGTATATTCTTTTTCTCTGTTTTTCATCTTTTCTATTTATATTATATAATCTTATCTTAGGTATGTTTTCATTGGTGTATAATCACTTGACAATAAAGATCATTGTGCTTTTGTTACCTCTTCCACGGAGGCCCCTTTGCACTAGGATGGACGACAACCACACTTCTATGTTTTTAAGATGATAGTCTTGTTGTCTGGGTGCAGACTTTTGAATCCACCCACTCCCCCGAAATGTGAAGGAGTAGGAGTTGATGAGTTCTGTTGTTGTAGTAGTCACTGAATAATTATTTTTTATGTATTTGTGATGTGTGTGTGGGCTTATGTGTGCAGAGCACAGTCGATGTGTGATGACACTTCTTCAGAGCTTCAGAGAATGGCGGCCATTGACAGAAGGGATATTAATTCCCAGAATTCCTTTCGTGGGAGAGGTGCTCTGTCCAGGTATGACCGCTGATAAATGAATTCACAAGTTGCTTTAGGCGTAAATTATTTCCAGCGTGTGTAATTTTTTGTTCTTTTTGTCCGTCTACCTGTCTTCAGGATCGTTAGTATGGTGGTGACTCTGAGAGAATGGGCACACAAGAGTTTGACCGAGGAGGCGGAGAGACCGGATTCCTTCTTGGAACGTTTCAGAGGCCCCGCCCACACGGACATGCAAGCCCCGCCCAGCAGGTTCAGCCACAGCCACACTGGTTCTGATGCAGATAATGAAATCAGAGCCACCAGACGCAAGTAAGAAAGCAAAAAACAAAACAAAAAAACATACACTTTCAAACATCGAATGACACAAAATATCTGTCTTTCTGTTCTTTGCCCGTCTCTGTCAGGAGGAGGAAGTGTAATGTCGTGGTCTTATCGCCATCTGATAACGCATACTACCACTGGCTGCTGGTGATTGGTGTAGCTGTTTTTTACAACTGGACTCTACTAGTTGTCAGGTTGGGAACTATTGCTGTACAGCAATACTAATGGCAATTAAAGTACTACATCTTGCAATAGTATAAATCCTATTTCTCGGGTATACATGCTTCTGACTAGTTCCGGCTCAATCTTACCTCTTTAATCAACCTCAGTTCCAGACACTGGGAACCACGTGCCCACCACCAAACAGACAAAATTAGCTACTAGCTGGTAAACAGCGTTGAGCATTTAACCACTAAAGAGCCAGATATTCCCCCAAGGAGTTGGTAGAGACCAAAAACAGAGCTAAAAGGACATACATTTATCAGGAGGACAGAAATCCAACTTCAAATTAATGCTAATGTTGCTCCATGTCTGCTGGATGTGTAAATAGGCAACTGTTTGCCAACATCAACAACAACACCCATATGAACTTTACAGAGAGATAAAAATGCCATACCCCCAAGTAGTAAAAAAAATCAAAAAAGGGTTTAATTGAACAATAATTGCGTCAGCAGATGCTTTGGTAGGAAGTTACTGATACTACCACAACTGCTCTTTCAGTGGCCAAGAGGGGGCACTGAGATTCCTGTTCAAAGGAATATATTTTACCAGTGCTTCTTCATTTGTTTGGTGCAGAAAGTTGCTGTAATCGAGTCGGTGTCGATGTGCAAATGTCTCAGTGTATCTGTTTTTTGCAGGGCCTGTTTCGATGAGCTCCAGATGAAGAATGTTTTGGTGTGGCTGGTATTGGACTACATCTGTGATGGAGTCTATATCCTGGATGTAGCTGTTCGTCTCCACACAGGTATTGACATTTTTTAAAAACTATTTGTCATCAGGATTCACCTACATTCATTCATTAATGTATGTATGTTATGTTTATTATGTATGTGAAGGTTTCTTGGATCAAGGTTTGATGGTGAAAGATGTGCAACGTCTGAGAGAAACCTACGTTCGAACCCATCAGTGTAAAATTGACATTTGCTCCATCCTTCCAACTGACCTCCTGTACCTGACTGTTGGAATCAGCTACACTCCACTTCTTCGATTCAACCGGCTGCTGCGTCTGCCACGACTGTTTGAGTTGTTTGAACGCACAGAAACACGAACAGGCTACCCCAACGCTTTCCGCATCTGTAAACTGGTTCTGTACATCTTGGTGATCATCCACTGGAACGCCTGTGGGTACTACAGCTTCTCCAAGGTCCTGGGACTGGGCTCTGATTCTTGGGTTTATCCCAATGCATCAGATCCTGAGTTTGGCTCCCTGACCAGAAGTTACATATATTGTCTGTACTGGTCCACTCTGACACTGACCACCATTGGAGAGACGCCTCCGCCTGTTAGAGATGAGGAATACTTGTTCCTGATATTTGACTTTCTGGTAAGTCCATAGCAAAGGCGTAACTTAAGCTGATATGATCTTATCTTGAA